ACGCACACGCTTACCATATTTCAAATATTTTCGTTCTCGCACGATTAATCTTAACGCTTCTCTCTTCACGTGGTTGAATAAGTCTCCGCTAAAACTGGGGAATACCCGAGAGATAAACTGCCTTGTTGCGAAAAACATATGAAGGATAATAAACACAATAGTCTCCATTTGGAGCGAAAATATTCTCAGATATTTCAACTTGGGCATAATCTGTTCCTCGAAGCTTATAGAGTTTTTCGAGCTACGCTCTTGGAAAACTGTTCGCTTCTCAGAACAGATGATATCCGCGGACAAATATCCGAGCATATTTTCGCGACAAATGGTGGTTATTGTTTATATATGCTAGGATGGCTAACCCAATGAAAACCCTTGAATTGCATTGTTCGATGATCCAAAGTTTTAAATAGAATTCTTTAATTTACATTTCCTTCCATTTTAAAGACGCAAGGGAAACTGTAGGGCGAACTGTATTTGTAAGAAGAACTGTGATAACTGTGCAAACGTATTGGAGGCAACATGGCCCAGGCGGCGTTATTAAGGGAGCTGATATAGTAATCCGGAGGTCTCGATCTTAAGCCCTCCGCACTGCTAGGTCCATGAGCAGGATTTGTTCTCGGTGGGTCCGAGTTCAATTCCGACCTCGGTTATGCTGTACTTTTAAATAGACAACTGGTCTGCCTCTTGCCAGTTGATTGATCCTTAAACCAGTTTACGTTCATTTTCAATATTTAGAACANCGAGTTCAATTCCGACCTCGGTTATGCTGTACTTTTAAATAGACAACTGGTCTGCCTCTTGCCAGTTGATTGATCCTTAAACCAGTTTACGTTCATTTTCAATATTTAGAACAGAATTTGCCGACATCGACCCGTTTAATCAGGTGCTAGTTGTAATAGTTTGGGATTCTTTGTTTATGTAATATTTGTCTCATTAGTTTTAGTCACCCATCAATTCTGCAGATTAAGCTACATATTAAGATATTCATTCTGAATATTGAGAGGACATTCCCGGCTAAACTGTTCCAAGGATTTTGAGCTCAATGTAAGGGGAAAAACTTTCCAAGTTACTGGAACTAAATAATGGAACAGTATCCTCGTTGAATTGAATTAATTGAAAAAGAGAAGCAAAAGAAATGACTCTCAAACTTTACAAATATGCACATTCTTATTACTAGTTTTATTATTATTATTATTATTATTATTATTACTATTATTAGTTTTTATTTTATATTTCTAAACTTTTGCTTTTTTCAACTCTTTGCATTGCAGCTAATTTTACCATTACATTTCATAAGAATTAAATCGAAGAGAAAATTCAAAGGGTAAATTATGTCAGATCAGTCAATCACCCTCAATGCCATAAATCTGAGTTTACTCAACTAGCCTGTAAGCAGAAAAGAAGGAGAGGAAAGGGAGAAGAAGAACCTGCCCGTACCGCTCTGAATTCTGAATGGTACTTCCAAATTTTG